GTGGCACGAAAGCTCGGACGCTGGAGCAGCACTATGGAGCTGCGGACAGGCACCATACCAGCTCACACAACGGATTGCTCGCAAAGGGTTTGCTAGGGCAAAATGTGGCCGCATATACGTTTATAGCTGCTACATACCACCAAGCATCCCCCTGGCAGAGTACGCAGCCGTCGTTGAAGACATCGCACAGGACGCGCACGGCAAATCTCCTGTGATAATCGCCGGAGACTTCAATGCGTGGGCTACAGAATGGGGCAGCAGCAGAACGACACCAAGGGGAACCATTCTGCTGGACACATTTGCCTCGCTGAATGTCTGCCTGCTGAACATCGGCACAAGAAGCACCTACAGCAAAGCGGGTCGTGAGTCGACCATAGACCTGACGTTTGCCAGCCCAGACATTGCCCGAGACGCCCAATGGCATGTATCGGATGTATACACCCACAGCGATCACTTTGCGGTGATAACGGACACCTCTCAATCTGGAAACAGAGGCGTCAGTAGAAGGCTCCAACACACTGGATACAAGATGGACACCATGGACCTGGAAAGAATCCTCCCTATGGTAGAAGGTCTTGGCATAAGAGGCGATGCCAACAGCTCCGCTGACGCGATAGCAGGGACTATCACCAACGCATGTGATGCCATACTGACCAAAGTTCGTAAAGGTGGAAACTCACATAGACCGGTAGCTTGGTGGAACGAGGACATAGCCAAAGCGCGCAAAGAGTGCTTCGCAGCTAGGCGAAAGAGCCAACGGTCGAGATCGTCGCCCAATTTCTAGCACCATCTGCAGAACTTCAGAGCCAAGTGGAAAGTACTCAAGGAAGCTATCAGGCGCAGCAAAACCCGATACTTCCAAGAGCTTTGCGACGCCGCGGACGCGGAGCCTTTTGGAATGGCTTACAAACTAGTCATGGGAAGGCTATGCAGGCAACCAATGCCAACAAACCCGCATCAGCTGAAACAAATGGTCCAAACGCTCTTTCCCCGGCAGCCATCTGGATTTTCACCACAACTCCCAGCAAGTGAAATAATCGACTGCGCAACCACCGACGACAATGAGGTACTGTGCATTGCTGCGAAGCTAAAGGCCGACAAATCCCCTGGACCAGACGGCATACCTAACGGGGTAATCAAAGCTGTCATCGCTGCACACCCCACAAGCTTCGTGGAGCTGTACAACCAATGTATAGCTGAATGCACAGTACCACGTAGATGGAAGCTCCAGGGACTTGTGCTCATCCCGAAGCCCGGCAAGGAGCTGGATGATGCAAGCTTGCTGAAGTTCATGTCTGTCAGGGCTGTCTGAACGTCAATTTGGTTTCAGGAAACACAGGAGCACCACGGATGCCATCAGGGCCGTGACTGAAATAGCAGAAGGCGCAATCCAAGGAACAAGATGGGCAGGTGGCACCAAACAGTACTGCCTAGTCTGTACTTTGGATGTCAAAAACGCGTTCAACTCAGCGAATTGGACGAGAATCCTAGAAGCACTAATAGCCAGACACATCCCGAGCCAGCTAATACAGCTAGTGATTAGCTACTTCCAGGACAGAGTGCTAATTTACGACACTGAAGACGGTCAGCGACAGTACACGGTAACTGGAGGCGTTCCCCAGGGCTCTGTCCTCGGGCCGCTACTGTGGAACGTCATGTACGATGGAGTACTGCGCCTTTGCCTACCAGAGGGCAACACAATCATTGGGTTCGCCGATGACATCGCTGTAGTGACTGTGGCGAAGAAACTCGATGAGGTCACTCTTAGGAGCAGCGCGGCTATCGACAGGATAATTGAGTGGCTATCCCAGAACGGACTCGCGCTAGCGGAGCAGAAGTCGGAGGCAGTTTTAATAAGTAGCAGAAAGATAGTTGAGACGGCCTCGTTGCGCGTTGGCAGTGCTATTATTAAGTCCAAGCCCGCCATAAAATACCTGGGCGTCATGATAGACCACAGACTGTCGTACAAACAGCACTTGGAGTATATTAGCCACAAAGCGGCCAGAGTTACAACAGCCATAAGCCGAATGATGGCGAACACCAAAGGCCCAAGGCAGAGGAGCAGAAGGCTAATCGCTGGTGTAGTGACGTCCACAATCCTCTACGGATCTAAAATATGGGCCCCCGCAATGGAGGTTGCATCTTACAGCCGAGGATGCAAGGCCGCATATCGTCGATGTGCATTGCGTGTAGCCACCTGCTTCCGCACAGTATCGGAAGACGCGGCCTTAGTGCTGGCAGGCATGATCCCACTCGGCCTGATGGCGGCCGAAAGGCAAAGCGGGGCAACCACCAACAGGCAACTGAGGGACAACACCATCGAACAATGGCAAAACAAATGGGATGGGAGCTCAAATGGTAGATGGACCCACAGATTGATCCCAAACCTGAAGCCTTGGCTACAGCGGCGACACGGCGAGGTAGACCACTACCTTGCCCAAATATTGACTGGGCATGGCTGTTTTAAGGCGTACCTGCACAGGTTTAAACATGAGGACGACCCCTTTTGCGAGCACTGCGGGCACGGTGTGGTTGAGGACGCGGAGCACGCATTGTTCTACTGCCCACTCCATAGACGCGAACGAAACAAAGCGACGGCGGGCAGAAACGATTTGTCCCCGGAGAATCTCGTGGCGCGGATGACGGCCACTGAAAATGGATGGACAGCCGTTGCTACCATGGCATCGGCTATAATGAAGGAGCTGCGACGACGGGAGAGGATCCGACGCGGCATCGACTGATGAGCGGCCGATATACAGCTGTACCCCGCCCTGCGAAGTAGTACTTTGCGGTTGTCCCGCAGGAGCGGGACTCTTTCTTTCTACTCTCCATAAACTATCCTGTCTTTCTCTGATTGCCCTATTTTCCTCTCTTGTATACATCAAAAAATGTAAAACATGTTTTTCTTTTCACAATAAAAAAAAAAAAAAAAAAACACATACACATACACATACACATACACATACACATACACATACACATACACATACACATACACATACACATACACATACACATACACATACACATACACATACACATATCCTAGTACTTTAAATGAGCAGCTTGCGGGCGATGCTTGAGGTCACACCTAAAAGTCGTATTACAACTCTAGAGGGCGTTCCCCTCTGTAGATTCTCGCATCTCTGGATTTAACGATGCCAAGTTAAGGTAACTTGCATATTTTAAGCTGTACTGGCTGCTTATCGATCGTAGATTAAGATTGCATAAGACCGTTGTTCAATCGGGGTACGCCAAGGATATAGTAGAGCAGAGTAGAACACATCTGGTCAAGACACGTGTTGGTGGAACGACCGCATTTATAATGTCAGTCAGGCGTGCCTACATGTCATAAGACATCACCAACAGACAACTGCATTATCAGCAAATCAGCGTAGAGCAAAAAGTTACGACTCTGCCATGTACGGGCAAAGCTTATAGGATAATCAAAAACATCTCTCTACATACTTTCAGAAGTGCAATTAGGTAAGACACACACAGACACACATGTGCACACATGCATATCCACAAAAGACACTTTGGCAGCTATTTTTTCTGCTCAGTGTTCGTACAAAAACATGTACGAAAAAAATCGACAAAAAGTGTCTTTGCTTGTGCCTAGGGTCTGCTGCGCAGAAACATCACTTTGTGTGTTTTCTTTCTCCCTTATTCATACCGTCAGACTAAAACCGAAAGTGTTGACTGTTATTTGCGACCTCTGCTTATTTTTGGTGATCAAGTTTTGTTTTTGGCGAAGTTTATACGTAAGCGAACGGTTCTAAATGATGTAATATATTTATATTAACTCCAACGGTGTTGTTTAATGATGCGGTGTTAGACTTAACTGTAGAAATAGTTGTATTCTAAATATTCATATAAATGTAATTGACATTCTTCCCACAATAACAGTAAGATTGAAATAAAGCAAACAAAATTTCCGCAGAAAATTTAATACCCTTGCAGAGCTAACCTTTTCATAAACCTCATAGTGCTTTGCCCGTATCTAAGGAGCACAGGAAAAGTAGTTTATGCCGAGTAAGGTCCGCTATAAATAATATTTTGCTTAAATGGAGGAAGCATAGTAAAACTAATAAATTCCGAGTTTGGTCAAAATTTCTTGAAAAACAAAACAATTTTCCATGCAACAACTTAATCTTCGAGCGGTCGTTCCTATGGCAGCTATATGATATAGTGGTCCGATCCAGCTGGTTTCGACGTATGTACTGCGTGCAACAGAAAGACGCACTTCTGCAAAGTTTCATAAAGATAACTTTAAAACTGAGAGACTAGTTCGCATAGAAACAGACAGATGGACAGACGGACATGGCTATATCGACTCGGCTGTTGATACTGATCATGAATATACATATATACTTTATGGGGTCGGAGATGCGTTACACATTTCACGACAAAAACATAATACCCTCTGCAAGGGTATAAAAAGGATGCATCCAGTGTAAAGTATGTCGACCTGTGGACCCCAAAAATGTTGCACATTAAGGCACTTGAGTACAGAGTGCCTTTCGGCACAAGCAAAATATTATTTAGGTACACTTAAGTACATTGGTCATAAAGAGGACAGGCGGACTGTGTTGATGAACACACTGTGGTTTTTAAAGGTAGTGCATATTTAACACAATATAACAATTAAATTCAAATATCAAAAAAGTAAATAAAACTTAAATTAATCTTAATTTTGTAATAATTAACTAAATGCAATGCCTCAACAATTATAGAATACCGTCAGGTTCTAGCTTCAACAGACGACGACTTTTGGATCCATTATACAGTTAATTACCAAACACTTATTATATACTAATCATCGCAGTTTGGGTTTCGTTTTCCGTACAGGACGCCAAATTAAGACGGATTATTTAGCGAACCCCCATCCGTACTGTTGTTTAGTTAAATATCATCTGGTTGTATTATTGGTTAAGATCCAATATTAAAATACAATTTGAGACAACATATGCATATATACAATAGAGCCAATTAATTCGTCGTTTTGGCAACATTTTATAATTTCGAAGTATTTTCTTTAATGCAAGCGCAATTTTATCAGTATCCACATTTTTCGGTTACTCTTAACTTAAGCGGCTTATGCAGAATTCCTTATTGGTAGACGAAACACAATCACAATACAAACTGGAATAAAAATTGTAGAAAGAAAGGAAAAAAGTTTATATGTATTTGTAAACGTTATATGAGTTAGAAAAATTATTAACTACAGTTAAGATATGCGGCACTTATAGGATACAAATAAAAAATAAATTAATAAGCAAGTGGTGTTCACTTCATGAATAAGTAGACATTCAAACTGTCGGAACAAGAAAGAACAACTATTTTCTTCACGCCGCAAATTAAATACCCTAAATAAATTGACGTTGGTCCGATTTTGATAGGCTTATATGGAAGGAACCAATTAATGCTCAGTTTCCTCAACTTATCTTTATAAGTAAGAAAGTTAATCTTTATTAATTTTCGACCGATCGCCCTATGACAACTATAGGATATAGTGGTTCGATGTTGATCATTTTTAGCTCATATGCAAGGACCATGTGAAACTACCAAATGCCGGGTGATCTGATCCTGCCGTTTGCATAGAAACAGCTAAACGGACAGCCTGACAGACGCACATGGTTATATTGACTCGGCTGTTGATAGTGATCATGAATTTATATACTTAATGGGGTCGGAGATGTCTCCTTCTATACATTACATATTTCACGACAAAAATATAATACCCTCTGTAAGGGAATAAAAAGGATGTATCCTGAGTAAAGTATGTCGACCTGTGGGCTCTAAATTTTCAGTCACACCGTAGCAGCGGCTATTAGAGCTTGTAATAAAAACAGGCAATTGCAACGAAGCAGTCCCGAAGTGACTGACGCAACCGCTACTTTTGTTGAAAAAGTTATTGACTACTTTGATTGCCTGAATAGCAGAGTTTTAAATGACAACAACCCCAAGAAATGTGCACTGCAAAAAGAAAATATAGTTTGGAAAAAATTAAAAGAAATGCAGGTATACTTAGGAAATATAAGGTATCAGGGCAATTTGACATTTTGTATTGATGGCTTACTCCCAATTACTGAGGCTTTTTTCGGACTTGTCGAAGACCTTTTTAAAGCAAATCCTGCGAATTTTTCCCTTTTTAACAATCAACCAAGATCCACTTGAAAATATATTTGCTTCTGTTCGAGCCAAAGGTGGAAACTGCAGAAATTCATAAGTTAATGAATTCAACATCAATTTAGCAAAGTTTATTTCGCTATACATTTTTCATTTTACCAAAAAATCGAATTGCGAGTCCGATGATGATGTTATGCTGCCTGTTGAATTCGATTCAATAATATAAGACCCTTGCGAAAATAATGAGGTAAGGTAATTCAAGAAGAATTTTTAAAGTCATTGCCACAAATTGTGAAAGGTAATGAAACCTATTCTGACGAACATAAGGACAATATGTTGTACAATGCTATACCAATTGAGTTGACATTAAGTAGATATTTTGTAGGCTATATTGTAAAGGGATCAAATTGCGATAAATGCGAAACGTACCTTTTTATAAATAGTGAATTTTTAACATCTCCTTCAGAATATTTTATATCAGAAAAAAATTACTCAAACGACACGTCTTTTGGAAAAATTAAAAGCACCATGTTTTATATTTTCTAATGTGAGCAAAATTCACATAATGGTTTTTGAAAATATATTTACTACTAATAAGAAGAATGCAAATCAGCATTATAAAATGTATTATAGTGCAATTTATAAAGTTTACTAAAGAAAGTGTTTATGCATCATTGTTTGATAGAAATGATGCATGTTACGCCCATAAAACAGTTCTTTTAGACAAACTTAATAAGGTTTTCCTTTTTAAACATTGTAATGGACATTGATAAAGAAGGCAAAACTTAATACACTTTCACATAAGTGAACATGTTCAACAAGTGAGAGGTTCTAGTCGGGAACTTCCGACTAGGAGATACCCTGAACCCTCTTATTCCGACACCAACGCGCTCGTCCGCTTTAGTACTAATAAAGATAAATTAAAAAAAAAAATAGTTACCCCGGTAGGTTTCGTACTCACCACAGGCCGCACTTCTTGCAGCCGCCTTTACCCAAAAGCCACACCAATAATTGAGTCTTAATGAGTAAAAACCGAATTAAAATAACAGCACAGAAAACAATACAATCGCAATTGAAATGCTGTTGATAGTTTTCAAAGCATACGCGCATGAATGTTTGTGTGTACATGTATACAGAAATTCTTGGAATTTGCGCTTGCTGCCGCTGATAGGAGAAGAGTCAAAACACGGTTTCTTTAATCATATTTGTGTTTCTTAACCGATCTTTTGTATCTCGTTTGTATTGTAGTTGTGTATTCTCAAAAAGTGAATTGCATTTAATTGTGGCTTATATTGGCGGACAGCATAAATTGGTGTTTTTACTTGATTTAAAGCTATGAGATAGTAGCGGGGAGGTGGGGGTTAAATATAAAATGTATAAGCAAGAGGTTCTAGTCGGGACCTCCCGACTAGGGGATACCCTGAACCCTCTTCTTCCAACACCAAATGCAGCTCGCGCTTAGCGGTCGTTTGCTTAAGTAGTAACAAAGAAATATTACAAAAAAAAAATTGTTCCCTTAGCAGCAGGGTTCGAACTCGCAACTAACCGCACCACTTGCCGCCGCCTCTACTCAAGAGCCACACCAATAATTGAGTCTCATTGAGAAAAAAACCAATCTTAATAGCAGCACAGAAAACAATACAATCGCAATTGCAATGCTGTTGATAGAATTCAAAGCAGACGCGCATGAATATGTGTATGTGTACATGTATACAGAAATTCTTGAAACTTGCGCTTATTGCCGATGATAAGAGAAAAGTCAAAAGACGTTTACTTTAATCATATTTGTGTTTCTTAACCGATCTTGATGAAATTTTCGACAGTACATCTTATTGTACTATAGAATATTCGTGTATTATCAAAAGCATAATGAGAAGAATCTGATCTATTTTTAGTTGATAAAAACTTAAATGACCTAAATAAAATATTTATATTTTAATTTTTATACCCTGAACCCTTTAAAAAAGGGTAAAAAGGTTATAAGGTATTTGTGCAAATGTATGTAACAGGCAGAAGGATGCTTCTCCGACCCCATAAAGTATATATATTCTGGCCCCGAGTCGATCTAGCCATTTCCGTCTGTCCGTCCGTCCGTCCGTCCGTCCGTCTGTACGTATGTATGAACGCAAGGATCTCAGAACCGACAAATCGTGCCAAACTTTCAGTTTGAAGCAGCATCTCGTTCAGCGCACAACGTCGCTGCGGCTGATGCTATTTCTTAATATATGTACATATGTTCTCTCTGCATAGCTTCTCAAAAACCCCGATATCTTCAAGCATACATATGTTTGTATTGTGTGGATAAAAACAATAGTGTTTATATTGTCTTTGGTGTAGATGTGCGCACAAGTAGATCACGGCGATTGTCACGAGCCAGAGATTTTTTCTTCAATTGTGTGCCTTTAGTGCCTGTAGCAAAAGGCACACACATTCAAATTCTATTATGTATTTTTTGTCCAGTCCGGCATAATGAGAAGAATCTGATCTATTTTTATTTAATAAAAACTTAAATGACCTAAATGAAATATTTATGTTTTATATTCTAATCTTTTAGTTTACTGTGGGACTTATTTTGCTTAAACTCAAAAAAAAAAAAAAAACAAAGTCGTATTCCTGCAAGGGTGAATCATCGACGGCTTGTCGAAGAATTCTAAGAAAAGACAGAAAAATCAACTGTCGTTAACTGTTCACACATTTGTGCTTTTTGCGGCGGCAAGCCCACCGCAGGCAAGCCAAAAAAAAAACTAAGACCGTGCCCGTCGTCCAAATTTACGAACCCATTGCTGAGAATATCTCTGTCTCACGACAAACCCTTGATCGGCTCATTCGCACAAATTTGTGTGTATGTGTGTGTGCCTAGAGCTCGAAATTCAGAAGCGCAAAAACTTCAAAGAAGAAAAGTGTGTAAGTGTGTGTAATTGGCAAGCCCAAAAAGTTATCATGCACGGCGGATATCCTGAACCCTCTTCTTCCTACACCAAATGTAGCCCGCGCTACGCGCTCGTTTGCTTTAGTAGTAATAAAGATAAAGGCCGCTCTATTTGTCGCCGCCTCTACTCACCAGCAACACCAATAATTGAGTATTAATGAGAAGAAAACGAATTAAAATAGCAGCACAGAAAACAATACAATCGCAATAACAATGCTGTTGATAGAATTCAAAGCAGAGGCACATGAATGTGTGTGTGTACACGTATTCAGAAATTCTTGGAATTTGCGCTTGCTGCCGCAAACACGTGGGCAGCCAAAACATATTTTCTTTTGTGTTTCTTAACCTATCTTGATGAAATTTGAAGCTTTAGATCTTATTTATTTATCTTATTTAAAATGACAATTTCATTTAAATTGTGGCTTATATTGGTGGGCAGCAAAAATTTATTTATTTACTTAATTTTTAGCTATGAGATAGTAGCGGGGAGGTGGTGATAGCTATAAAATGAAAGATACTTGATATATGTATGTATGTATACTATTCTAGAAGCTACATGTCAAGTTTGGTGACTCTAGCTCTTATTATTTACCGAAATTGCTCAAAAAATAGGATTTCGCTATCGATTTTTATCGATTGCGCGAGCACTAGGAGGACCTACAGCTAAAACTTCAAAAACGTCTCTAGCTCTTATAGGTTCTGAGATCATTGCGTTCATACATACGGACAGACGGTCGGACTGGTCGGACAGTCAGACGGACATGGCTAGATCGACTCGGCTATTGATGCTGATCAAGAATATATATACTTAATAGGGTCGGAGATGTTTTCTTCTGCATTTGCACAAATGCATTATACCCTTTTTACCCATTTTTAATGGGTTCAGGGTATAAAAAATAGTTCCCTTGGCAGGGTTCGAACTCGCAACTAGCCGCACTACTTGCCGCTGTCTGTACTCAACAGCCACTCCAGCCAAAAAAAATAAAAAATTGTTTCCTTGGTAGGGTTCGAACTCGCAACAGACCACACTACTTGCCGCCGCCTCTACCCAACAGCCACACTAATCATTGAGTTTTAATGAGAAAAAAACGAATTAAAATAGCAGCACAGAAAACAATATGTACAATCGCAATTGCAATGCTGATGATAGAATTCAAAGCATGTATACATGTATATAGAAATTCTTACATTTTGCGCTAGCTGAATCAAATCACGTGGGCAGCAAAAACACATTTTCTTTTGTGTTTTTTAACCGAACTTAATGGAATTTCAACAGAAGAACTTATTTTGCTGTAGAATATTCGTATATTCTCGAAAAGTCAGCTGCGTTTAAAATGTGGCTTAAATTAGTGGGTAGCAATAATTGGTTTATTTACTTAATTTAGAGCTGTAGGCGGGGAGGCGGCTACAGCTATAAAATAAGAGATACTTGATATACATATATATATTTATACTATTTAATAAACTGCCTACGGTCAATATAAACCCGCTCAATTCTTCTATATCGAAAACTTGTAACTTACTTCTGAATTGGGGTCTCGAAAACTTCTGTTCAATGGGTACACTTTGAGCAAACAAGTACACCTGTATCAACTGAAAATGTCATCCGTGGAGTGCTGGATGCATCAAAATCTATTTGTATTAACATGCCTGTTGCACCATTACCTAATTCAACCCTAGTATATACATTGACCGCAATCATATATTTGGTAGTGATTATTAGAAGAAGAGACATATACAATCCCTGTGTTTCGGACGACCTAAAGCTACTAACGGCTTGTAAAATTATCTGTCTACAAGCCGCAGTTAAATGTGTTGCTTTAATAAAATCATCAGCGGTAGAAATAAAATGATCAATCGGAATTGAGTTTAGCTTTATTGTGTTATAACTATCTGTCGCCGCACTTGTATGGCTTAATAAGATGAGTTTAAAACCTTGTCCATTTGACAAGGTGTGGCCTCAACACTAACCCTACCTGCCTTGTTATGGCCAATATTGCTGGCCGATTCCTCGCATACTCAATAAAAATAAATATAAAATAAAAACAAAAAAAAAAGATGAGTGGCATCATCGGAAACATCCGATTGCTGAGAAATACGGGATCGGACAAGAATAATACCATCGGCTGTCATGTTTCCCGATGCCATACTATTTAAAGCAGAAGCAAACTATTGGCACTCCCGTTGTCGCATGATTTTTGTGGGCTCAAAATACTTGAAAACGTCTCCCAGCAATGAAGCATAAATTGCACTGTAGGGATCATTAGAGTTGAGAGTTTGGAGCACAATAAATGTCGTAGATTCCAGAAAACTATGACACAAATACCACCCAATGGAAAAGTATATTTACAAATTTCTTTTAAACGGGAGTCCAACTGGAAAAATATTTTGGAGCCTCCCATGGATATTTCATCTATATTAATAAGCTTGAGGTCTATTAACCCTGAATGCAAAGTATTTACTAAATCCTTGCTTAAAGCCCTCAAATCAGAACCAGATTGATTAACTGGTAAGGAAAAGATGGAATGCGGTGTTGAGCCACTGATGGAAGTTCGTCAGATGAAAACGAGGACAACCACGAAGTTCGTTAACACTAATTTGATGTCCCTCAAGGCAGCGCTTTGAGCCCCTTTCTCTACAATTTGCACACGGCAGACATCCCCACTCCGGATGACCTACACGATTTGCCACCCCTGGCAAACACCTGATGGCCACATTTGCCGAATATTTTACTCCGCCCACTGCGAGTACGAAGCCACTGACGAGGCTCAGGAATACATCCATTTGCTTGAGAGCTGCGCACGCAGGTGGAACATCAAGCTCAATGCCTCGAAGTGCCAGGCGGTTAACTACACTACGCAGCCCCCTTCACCCTTCAAGCGCCAAGTACCCTTGAATTGTACTGGATAAGAGGCTTAGCTTTCTGGTGCACATCGACGGCCTTCTCAAGCAGTGCCGCTTTAAGATGGCCAAGGCCAACTGGCTACTAAGCCCCAACAGTCCACTGCCACTTCGCTGCACACGGGCACTTTACAACGACGTGGTGGCGCCAACTTAGAGATACGGTATCAAGGTTTGGGGCATTGCATCTCCGACAAATAGAAGACGGATTCAGACAGTCAAAAACTGAGCCTTGCACCAAATGGCCGGTGCTGACGTGTACGTCAGAAATTCTACCTTGCACAGAAAACTTAAATGTCGATAGCCAAGTCGGAGCATTCGCCAACCGGTACAACGAACGCTTGCAGGGACACTGCAACCGGGTAGCAAGAGACCTCGCTGGAAGGTGTGTAGTCAGGAGGCTCAAGAGAAGATCGTTCAAGGACCTCCTCCAACCTCGACATACGAGACGCCCCAGAGTCCCCCGAAAATTTATGCTATTTTTGATTAAATACTAAGAATATTTATAAAAAAAAAAAAAACTAATTTGATGCTTTCTTCGAAGCTCGGTGCTAGCTTAAAATTTGATTGCATCAGCAACTTTAGAGGGCCTAATGGTTTCAGCCATGAAATCATGGAATTGGCTATAATCCATCCCTTAAGATGAATCTCAGTTTCATTAAACGGCCTCGGAAGGGACGTAGTAACAGTGGCCACAAGAATTAGTACATTGACTATTGTTCCTTTAATTGCATTTTGTCGACCATATCCTAAAGACTTATTGATCATTATCATCATTGATCATTAAGGGAAGGTGTGGGGAGATAAGCCTTTCGTCTAAAGGTGTTAAGCCTTTCAGATAATCTGGCAATCGAGAAGGTAACTTGCTTTTTTGAAATTTGAGAACGAAATCGAAATCAGTATCATTGCGCCTTCACAGCCGAAAGAGCGAAAAGCTAAAAATAGAATGTACTCTGAGCTTCGGCTGTATGAGAGCCGTGCAAGCAATTATGTTTGTATGTGTGTTAGTATACATACATAGCAGCATATTTTAATGCGTTGTTATTCACAGCTCTGGCTTTAGCTGGCAAAGAAATACATTTTGTTAGTTTTCTAACAACACCTAATCTAACACCTATCCCAAATTCGTACATTCGAATGCATGTTGTGTACTGAGGTTGGCTAGGTAGAAAATCTGTTTTTAAAGTCGATGCAAATATTTATATAATTTCTTTAAAATAAATGATTAATTATTTATTATTATTTTTATATAAAAAAATACAAATAGGGTAAATTAAATACGTCTGCAGCTATAATATTCATTTAATTAATAAGTTAATTTAAAGAAATTATATAAATATTTGTATCGACTTTAAAAATCCCAGTACACAACAGGCATTCATATGTGAAGACAAATTTGGGATAGGTCGTGCATGATCCGCCCTAGAAAACTAACAAATTTATTTCTTTGCCAGCCAAAGCTAGAGCAGTGAATAAAAACACATATGTATACACATGTATTTTGATGTAGCTATGCATGCATAATTCACACATACAAATATATGTAGGTGCTTGCACGCCATTGGCTGACATAAGAACTTCTCTCGAGCATACACTGTCCAAAAACAAAAGTAAAATCAATCATTTTCATAACGTAGTTATTGCAGATGATGCGCTTTATAAAAAATTATTTTATTCCTAAATTTTCCTGTACAATTTATCGTTAGTATCTAGGGTAATGTATCATTTAAATAAAGCATGCATTTCATGGATAAAGCAGAAGTTCTTTGCGTCGATCATAAGTTTAAAACTTTTCGCTCAATGTACTTCGAAAACGAAGCGACGCAAAGCACCATCGACTAGCCTTGCTAAAAGGCAGGCTGGTGACTAACTTCGTTGCTCGTGTCAGCGCATCAGCAAGCCGCGACTTCGGCATTCGTTCGTCTGAACGAACAGCCGTCGGCAGGCATGTCGTGCGAAAACTCAAAAGCCAAGCATGCAATTTTTCGTCGCATGCAAATGTATGGGCGTTACTCATCTAAGTGTTTATATTGTCTTTGGTTATACCCATGCAGAGGGTATTATAATTTTGTCGTGAAATGTGTAACGCATAGAAGGAGACATCTCCGACCCCATAAAGTTTATATATTCTTAATCAGTATCAATAGCCAAGTCTAGCCAAGCGAACTTGTCTCTCAGTTTTAAAGCTATCGTCATGAAACTTTGCAGAATCCTATTTTCTTTTGTACGCAGTACATATGTCGGAACCAGCTGAATCGGACCACTATATCATAAAATAAAGTCGTTGTATGGAAAACTATTTTGTTTTTCTAGATATCTAGATATCCAAGCTCGGCATTTATAGCTTTCATTATGCTCCCTACATTTAAGCAAAATCTTATTTACATTGGACTACTATATCATATAGCTGCCAAAGGAACGATCGGTCGAAAAGTAGGTTCTTGTATGAAAAACTTTTTTGTTTATGAAGATATCTAGACGAAACTCGGCATTTTTTTTTTATTGTGCTCCTCATATATATGCAAAATCCTATTAAGATCGGACCACTATATCATATAGCTGCCACAGGAACGATCAGTCAATCGTTTTATAAGATATCGAATTTTTTAATGAATACACTGTGAAATATTAAGTTATACCTTGCATCTGATATATAACTCGAGGCTATCGCGAAGAAACCTTTACTTTCTTGTTATCATTAGATTATGTATCGTATAAGAGACGCTATAAGAGTGGAACATTTTTAGTACTTACCAAAAAGAACAAAGGTAAACAATGAAAAAGTTGTGTTGCAATACGGGTGTAACATTACACCAATTAGATTAGTTGCTGCAATAGTACCAAGTCGTCCTAATGACATGCACAAACTAACAGCTTTTCCTCTAAAATAAAAGAAAAATGATTTATTTTCCATATCTGATGATAAAAGTATACATGAAATATACATAAATGAATATGCTGGGAGTGACTGATTTGAAGATACCCTGAGTATCATACCCTCATATAGCCACACCAGCCAAAAAAATAAAAAATAGTTCCCTCGGTAGGGTTCGAACTCGTAACTGATCGCGCTGCTTTCTGCTGCCTCTACTCGATAGCCACACCAACAATTAAGTCTTAATGAGAAAAAAACGAATAGCAGCAGAGAAAACAATACAATCGCAACTGCAATGCTGTTGACAGAATTCAAAGCAGACGCGCATGAATGTGTGTGTGTACATGTATACAGAAATACTTAGTATTTGCGCTAGCTTCTGCTAACACGTGCGCACATAACTTTTGTGTTTCTCAACCAATCTTGATGAAATTCAGCATTAGATCTTATTGTATAATACTTTAAAAAAATCGTATATTCTCAAAATGACAATTGCATTTAAATTGTGGCAATTAGTAGGCAATACAAGTTGGTTTGCTAGCATGATTTATAGCTTTGTGGTGGTAGCGGGGAGGTTGCGATTGGTATGAAATGAGAGATACTTGATATATATATATCATATATATATATATATATATATATATATATATATATATATATATAAATATATATATATATAGTATATATATATAAATACATATATATATACTATTCTAGAAGCTACATGTCAAATTTGGTGACTCTAGCTGTAATTATTTACCAAAATCTTAAAAAACAGGATTTCTATATAGATTTTCATCGATTACTGGGAAATGGGGCAAGTTATCGAATATCGAAAACAAACTCGATCTGCGCATGGACTAGGAGGACCTACAGCTAAAATACAGCTCAAGTCTCTAGCTCTTATAGGTTCTGAGATGCTTGCGTTCAGAGATGCTTCCTTCTGCCTGTTACATACATTTGCACAAAAACATTATACCCTTTTTACCCATTTTCAATGGGTTCAGGGTATATAATACTCTGAGTGATAACAAGTATATATTTATAATTTCAAGACTCTAGCTTTTGTTTTTTTTTTTTTTTTGAGACCGCTCCGACGGACTGAAGAAACTCATTGTTGAAGGGACTTTAGTAAATACACGCAGAAGATAATAAAGAACGCGTTTTCATTGCCGAGATAAGAGTAGAAGAAGAAGCACACCGCTGCATAAAGTGAGCCTCAAGCCAGAAAGTTAAAGCTGAAATTTGAGCTGGGTTTGCCTTAACCCAATAACCCCTTAAGGCAATATAAATACTTTATAAATGTAATTTATATAGTCTTTGGTTCAGGGCATATCCAGCCCGTCACTCCCGACTAGAGCACTCTTGATATTTATACCGTTAAACCATTGAAAATTTATAAAAAGGGTACAGCGGTGTGAAGAAAACAGGCAAATAGCGGCTTTCTCACACATTTCATGACAAAATGACCTCTGACATTTCATATCCGAAGATAACCATTTTGTTAATTATTCTTATTTGTATTGATTGATAATTTTATATTTTTCTTGTTTCTTACCTTAAATTTGTTGGTACCAAATCAACGACTGCACCTAACATAATGGATATTGATAATCCGGGCAACAGGATGTAAAGGCAAAATAGAACTAGTACAGCGATGGGGTTGGAAACAAAGTGCAGTAAGATTCCACTGGTAATAGAAAATACGAGAGCGGCCAACAAAACGTTTTTACGACCAAGAGGATTCAATAGAGTGCCTTGTATTGAGAAACCTAATAAAAACGCTGTTCCAACAATCATATTATCAATATATGTTTTAGTTGATATTGAATCGGAGCAGATCTAAAAGTAAAATAAAATATGTAAAATCGTTAAATGGGTAGGGTATAGTTGGTTACTTACCACAGTGCTATTCGTTGAACTATTTTGTTCAACATAGGAACTGTCCAATATTTGACAAACTGTGGAATTTTGATTTTCTTTGTTGGATGATCGGTTAACGATTTCTGGGAACCAAAACTGCATTCCGTTTGAGCTGAAAATAAATGTTTATTGTTGTATGGTATTGCTTATGATTTTGTTGTAACATAATATAAAACCCTTAGGAAGACAAGGTTTTCTTAATTTTTATTTTTTTTAAATTAACCAAAACATTTTTAATTAATATACCTGAATCTATTTAAAGTAGATTCTTCGACTCCATGTAGTACATACATTGTGGAACAAGACCTCGGTCTTAATTAACCAATCCATGTATGTCCGTTTCAAAGCGTCGGTCTCAGAAACTACATAGACTGTAAACTTCAAATTTTATATTAACTCCTATATATATATATATATATATATTCTTCTTAAAACGAACGATTTTATCATATTTTTCCATGTTTTACTTTTATTTGATGCTGATTTTAGCGACCTTTCCATTTTAATATCCTGAATCCATTAAAAATGGGTAAAAGGGGTGTAATGTATTTGTGCATATGTATGTAACAGGCAGAAGGAAGCATCTCCGACCCCATATTCTTGATCAGCATAAATAGCCAAGTCTATCTAGTCATGTCGGTCTGTCTATGCGAACTTTTCTCTCAGTTCTAAAGCTATCGTCATGAAACTTTGCAGAAGTCCCTCTTTCTGCTGCACGCAGTACATCTGTCGGAACCGGCTGGATCGAACTACTATATCTTATAGCTGCCATAAGAACGATCGGCTAGAAGTAGCTTATGGTATGAAAAACCGTATTATACCCTGGACCCATTGAAAATGGCTTAAAAGGGTATAATGTTTGTGTGCAAATGTATGTAACAGGCAGAAGGAAGCATCTCCGACCCCATTTTCTTGATCAACATCAACAGCCGAGTCGGTCTAGCCATGTCTGTCTGTCCGTCCGTCCGTATGTATGAACGCAAGGATCTAGGAACCTATAAGAGCTAGAGACTTGATAGACTTAGCTGTAGGTCCTCCTAGTGCCCGCGCAGATCGAGTTTGTTTCCGATAATCGATAACTTACTCCGTTGCCAAGCAATCGATAAACATCGATATCGAAATCCTTGTTTTTTGAGTAAATTGGGTAAATAATAAGAGCTAGAGTCACCAAACTTGATATGTTGCTTCTAGAATAGTATATATATATCAAGTTCATTTTATACCTATCGCCATCTCCCCGTTACCACATCAAAGCTATAAATCAATTTAATAAACCAACTTGTATTGCCCACCAATTTAAGTCACAATTTCAGTGCATTTGACTTCTTGAGATTACACAAATATTCTATGGCACAATAAGATGTGCTGTCGAAAATTTCATTAAGATCGGTTAGGAAACACAAAAGTAATGTGTTTTGGATGCCCAAGGGTCAGCGACAGCTCGCGCAAATTCCAAGAATTTGAATGTGGCTGTTGAGTAGAGGCAGCGGCAAGTGGTGCGGTGAGTTGCGAGTTCAAACCCTGCCAAGGGAACAATTCTTTTCATACCCTTGCAGAGGGTATTATAATTTTGTCGTGAAATGTGTAACGCATAGAAGGAGACATCTCCGACCCCATAAAGTATATATATTCTTGATCAGTATCAACAGCCGAGTTGATATAGCCATGTCCGTCTGTCCGTCTGTCTGTTTCTATGCAAACTAGTCTCTCAGTTTTAAAGCTATCTTTATGAAACTTTGCAGAAGTCCCCCTTTCTGTTGCACGCAGTTCATATGTCAAAACCAGCTGGATCGGACCACTATATCATATAGCTGCCATAGGAACGATCGGTCGAAAAGTAGGTTCTTGTATGAAAAACATTTTTGTTTATATAGTTATCTTTACTAAACTTGGTATTTATTAGTTTTACTACGTTCCCCATATATGTGCAAAATCCTATTAAGATCGGACAACTATATCATATAGCTGCCATAGGAACGATCGGTAGAAAATTAAGTTTTTGTATGGAAAATTTTTGTTTTTCAAGATATCTTGACCAAACTCGGTACTTATTAGTTTTACTAAGCTCCCCATAAATATGCAAAATTCTATTCAGATCGGGCAACTATATCATATAGCTGCCATAGGAACGATCGGTCGAAAATTAAGTTTTTGTATGGAAAATTTTTATGTTTTTCAAGATATCTTGACCAAACTCGGTATTCATTAGTTTTGCTACGCTCCCCATATATATGCAAAATCCTATTAAGATCGGACAACTATATCATATAGCTGCCATAGGAAAGATCGGTTGAAAATTAAGTTTTTGTATGGAAAATTTTTATGTGTTTCAAGATATCTTGACCAAACTCGGTATTTATTAGTTTTACTACGCATATAGCTGCCATAGGAACGATCGGTCGAAAATTACGTTGTTGTACGGAAACCTGTTTTGTTTTTCATGATATCTTATCCATACTCGGCATTAACTATTTTCCCTGTGCTTCTTAGATACGGGCAAAGCACTATAAGCATTTTGAAAAGGTTGGGTCTGCAAGGGTATTAAATCTTCGGTGTGCCGAAGATAGCACTTCTTTCTCGTTTTATTTTAATTTTCTTTTATTACCACTAAAGAAAACGAGCGCTTAGCGCGAGCTGCATTTGGTGTTGGACGAAGAGGGTTCAGGGTATCCCCTAGTCTGGAGCTCCCGATTAGAACCTCTTACTTGTTAAGAATATACGAATGGTCTATAGCGGAATAAGCTCTACTGAAAATTTCATCATGATCGAATAAGAATCACAATTAAAACGTGTTTTGGATGGCCTCATGCTTGCGGCAGCTAGGGAAAATTGCAAGAATTTCTATATACATGTACACACACATTCATACGCGTCTTTATTGAGTTCTATCAAAATCATGGAAAAAGCGGCTGTATTGTTTTCTATGCTGCTATTTTAATCCGTTTTTTCTCATTAAGACTCAATAATTGGTGTGGCTGTTGGGTATAGGCGGCGGCAATTAGTGAGGTCTGTTGCGAGTTCGAACCACACCGAGGAAACTATTTTTTTTTTTTTTGCTGGTTTGGCTATTCAATAGAGGCGTTTGCAAATCGTGTGGACTGTTACGAGTTCGAGACCTATCGAGAAAACAGTTTTCTTTTTGGTAGGGGTAGGGGAAGGCGTTCAGGGTATTCCCTAGTCGGGAGCTCCCGAAAACTTTGTATACCCTTGCAGAGGGTATTATAGTTTTGTCATACAACAACTTTATTTTCGACTGATCGTTCCTTTGGCAGCTATATGATATAGTGGTCCGATCTTAATAGGATTTTGCATTTATATGAGGAGCCTAATAAAACACATAAATGCCGAGTTTGGTCAAGATTTCGTGAAAAACAAACAAATTTTCCATACAACTTAATTTTCGACTGATCGTTCCTATGGCAGCTATATGATATAGTGGTCCGATCTTAATAGGATTTTGCATATATATGGGGAGCATAGTGTTGGATCAAGTGGGCGTGTGTGGATGGTATGAAGTTTTAATAAAGGTTTTACAAATTGATGATCAACACGACTGACTTCTATGATGATGCTTACAGAACTGATTTCTTAACATAAATTAAGATTAAAGGGACCGAGCAATTACAGAGTTCGAAAGCGAGCGAGACTTCGTACATGTGTATGAGTGCTTATGACATTCAAATAGAAGAGAATTAGCATAATCTTAACATAATCTGCTTTGACATTGCTATTGATACCCTGACTAATGTATATATGAGGTATATGACCGAACACATAGTAAAACAAATAAATGCCGAGTTTGGTCAAAATATCGTGAAAAACAAACAAATTTTCCATATAACAACTTAATTTTCGACCGATCGTTCCTATGGCAGCTATATGATATAGTGGTCCGATCCAGCTGGTTTTGACATATGGACTGCGTGCAGCAGAAAGAGGGACTTCTGCAAAGTTTCAAAAAGATAGCTTGAAAACTGAGAGACTAGTTCGCAAAGAAATAGACTGACGGGCAGACGGACATGGCTATATCGACTCGGCTGTTGATACTGATCATGAATATATATACTTTATGGAGTCGGAGATGTCTCTTTCTATGCGTTACACATTTCACGAAAAAATTATAATACCCTTTACAAGGGTATAAAAAAAAAGTTCCCTTGGCAGGGTTCCAACTCGTAACTGACCGCATTACTTGCTGCCGCCAATACGAAACAGCCACACAAGCCAAAAAAAAAAAGGTTCCCTCGGTAGGGTTCGAACTTGCTACAGACCACACTACTTGCCGCCGCCTCTCCTGAACAGCCACACAGACAATTGAGTCTTAATAAAAAAACACATTAAAATAGCATCACAGAAAACAATACAATCAATACAAAAAACAAGATTTCGATAACAATTTTTATCGATTCGTTTGAAACGGGACAAGTTATCGAATATAGGAAACAAACTTGGACGGACGGACGGACAGACAGACGGACATGGCTAGATCGACTCGGCTGTTGATGCTGATCAAGAATATATATACTTTATGGGGTCGGAGATGCTTCCTTCTGCCTGTTACATACATTTGCACAAATACATTATACCCTTTTTACCCATTTTCAATGGGTTCAGGGTATTTATAGCTATGAGGTACAAGCGGCGAGGTGGTGGTTGCTACAAAATGAAAGATACTTGATCTATATATACTATTCTAGAAACTACATGTCAAGTTTGGTGACTCTAGCTCATATTATTTGCCAAAATTGCTCAAAAAACAGGATTTCGATATCGATTTTTGTCGATTACTTGAAAGCGGGGCAAGTTATCGAATATCGGAAGCAAACTCGATCTGCGCGGGCACTAGGAGGACCCACAGCTAATTTCAAGTCTCCAGCTCTTATAGGTTCTGAGATCCGTTCATATATACGGACAGATGGACGGACAGACAGACGGACATGGCTAGATCAACTTGGCTATGGATGCTCATCAAGAATATATATACTTTATGGGGTCGGAGAATCTTTTTACTGCTTGTTACATAAATTTGCACAAATACATTATAACCTTTTTACCCATTTTTATTGGGTTCAGAGTAAAAAAAAAAAATTTCACCAAAAGACGCGCATTAGC